AACAATTATATCTTTAAAAACGGCTGATTTTAACTTGTAAGGTAAAAAAATGCAAGATTACTTCAAGTTTGGCCTGGTGGTTAGGACAATTGACTTGCAATTTGTGGGTCACGAGAAGGAACCCCATCGCCGAAAGTTCTCGTTCTTTCAGCCACAGGGATGTTAAAGTGTCTACTTAAGTGACTTTTTGTGTCAAAACTGGAAACTCTAAAATACATCTTAACTAATGGAGCAGCAGACACATCGTACTCTCCTGTACCTGCAGTAGTTTGAGTTGTTCTGACTTATTAGTAAGTACTAGTAAGTTAACTCAGTTGGAAGAGCACTTGTCTGGTGTGCGAGAGGTTTTGGGTTCAAATCTGAGGAAACGAACTTATCACATAACATGCTGATATAAATAACCTCAGTACCGGATTAACGCATAGACCACCTAGACCCAAGCCTAGGGCCCCGGCCATACAGGGTTCGTAAAACTAGCAGAATAGAATCAAGAGTGAGGATTTTTTTCATTCCCAAATATTATCTGGGCCTAGGAATCCACTAAACCTTCAACCGGCCCTGAATAACCTACGGATACCCCTCCAAGTAAAGCTGTTTTAATTATTACATTGACAAATGACCATCACTCTGTGTCACGTTTACTCTAAATTATAAGTAAAGCGTTTTATTTCTAGTTTTTTAAGTTATGCATAAACAGACTTTCCTTACTTTTAATCTCTTAAATCATTTAATGTTTTGACTATGTACCATAAGTTTATTTCATCACTTATATATACACACACACATATATGATTGCTCATTTATTTTCAATGTTTCGTTTTTGAAAAATCTTGTTGTTATTTAAAATGCTCTTGACAAAACTATATAATGTAAGAAATAACTCAGATATATCATAAAGCTAAGAGCACAAGAAAGAACAGGATGACAGAAAGCTAATAGCTCCATCGCGAGGTCGCCCTTCCACCAAACAGCTAAAATTACAAAAAATGCACTTAATTTAAATAGTTTTTCAGGTCGATATATCCGAAGAATGTTAAAAATGATTAAAGCAAACATTTCACGCCACATTATCAGGCAAACATTCCATTTGACAGCGAAGTAATTTTTTAAAGTAAAAGTTTGGATTTGGGCTTTTTAGAGCATTTTTATTTTCAATCATATTATTCCACAGCTGAAACACATCTCAGATATGCAACTTCCTTTGCTAGAAAACGTGTAAAAAGTAGATTTAGAGCCCAAATTTTGAGAGCCATTTTGAACTATATATAAAGAACAAAAACATCAACCACGTAATAACTGCATATTACCATAATACTAGTGCACAGTCCGTCAAAAATAATGGGTGTTAAGAAAACTTTGTAAACATCGCTATAAATTAACTAACACCAATTTTATTCACATTAAAAATCAAGCTTTTGTTTCATAATATTTCTTTATACACAAAATCGACAGTGAAAATATTGTTACGTCTCTGGTCGTTAGTTAATTTTCCG